GCAGAAGCCCCCACGATGCCGGCTGCATTACGATTACATCGCCAGGCGCCAGCTGCTCAATCAGTTCCATGCAACCCCACAGTGATGATCGCGTCTCATGCATTGCTCTAGCCTCCGGCCTGAGCAGTAGCTTGCTGGTGTCAGCATTCTGCACCTGGATACCACTGATGGTCAGCTTTAACAAACGACCACCCCACGGGCAGTGGCAGTGGGACAGGCTCGACTGACCAATACGTTCGCAGACTTCCCATTCCTGCTCCGCGAACAGGTGAGGAACCGACTCGAACCACTCCGTCACATCGTTGGGACGCTCGACAGTCATGGCTGATTGCCTTTTGAAAATAGCTCTAGGCATAAACTGGAACTGCCTGAGCTTTAAATGGCTTGCAACACATCGAGAACCTCAGCAGACCAGCATGGCAACACGAGGAAGCACGGCCCAGTAATCGGAGGATTGTTGAAATGCGACTGTGAGTCATCATCACAGCTCGCACTTTACCTGCCCTTGCGGCCATCCTGCAGTTTGCGCTCTTGCGGATATGAAGACTCGTGATGAACTGCCGGTTACGGGCCTTTTTCTTCTTCTTCTTCCATTAGTGTAGTCGTAAGGGCGTAACGATAAGATTCCTACTGCTCCTGCTCCTGCTACCGACCACGGTGACGACAACAGCTGCCGTGACTGCCACGTGACGGTGACCAACATAGGTATCACGCATGTAGGAAGCATGGCCTTCTCGTCTGCACAGCGGAGCAAAGTCCAGTTCGCTCCGGCGACCACCTGCGCCGAACGGCGGGACGTAGTGCTTCAGGTTCACGAGGGGGATCTGGGCAATTCATGAATACGAAACACAAGCTTGACGACACCAACCAACACGAAGGAAAAAAAGAAGACCTAACTAGGGAAAGCGGATGATTTGACGAGCAGCTTTGAAACGTAAGCCCCACATGGAACATGGAAGTGGCCGCATTCTGCTTTTCACGAATCTGTCAATTGTGCTTGCCGCCCCAACCGCGACCTCGCGCACGTCGGCGAGCGACCGGATCAGTGTCGGGAGCCGATAGTTGCGGCAACCTAGCTGGATTTCCGTTTGACTGAGGCAGGCTAGCCAAGATTTGGATCTCCAAGATTTGGATCTGAATGGTAGTCCGTATTAAAAGGACGTGATGACCAATAATGGCGCAGTGCATGCAACTTTGCTTGAGCGACATCAAGACAGCAGCTTGGACGACACGAAGCTTTCTTAGCATGTTCCTATGTCCAAACATGCACTAGATGCAGATTTACGTTCATGGAGAGCACAGTACTTCAAGCACACAGATCGGTGCTGGGATTCGTCGGAGCCCAGACGAGTTCAGGATCACAACAAACCTCTTCGGGCGAAAGGAACAATCACCGGTGCCACCTCGCCGAGTGCTGGATTGGCCACGGCGCTCTAGAAATGATGCACAAGGGGTCCAAGGGGCTTCAGATGCGGAACCAAACCAGGAGCAAACCTAGGTTGCCGGCGCAGCTCTCTGCAATAGGCCCATGAGCCATGAGCGACTCCGAATCCCTGAAGCCTGATAGGCGGGCCTCCGGTGCAAAGTTGGCCCTGTTCGCCTGGGTATTCAGGCTTCTGGGATTCTGGGACATCTCAGCTACCTTACTCAACGCGGGGCAGTCCTGGGCCCTGGGTGCGGGTTCTGTCATGGGGACGCGATCTCCTACAGCCCGCCTTCGGGGTTTCGGGCCCTCAAGCTTGGTTCGAGTTCGCTCGGGAATAAAGAAGACGAGCTAGGAGATTCCTACATCGCCCGATGACAATTCGGATCTGAATCAAGAGCCTTGCGGAGCTTTTGCTCACCACCAGGCACGACCCAAAGCAATGGCTTCTATGTGTCATGCACTCGAAGACCACTCCGTGGCTCGTCAAACCGAAGATCGACGTCTCTCAAGTTCGAAAGAGCTCGGAATTTTGAACCTTCAGCTGCCGCAACCTTGGGTGCGTTGAGTTGATTCGGAGATATGATGAGCAGCTATGGGCTCTTGGCTTAGACTCCGAGGAAAGCCTACACGACCCTCGAACTTGACGCCTGCACTGTCTACACTGAAAACTGAATGGCTTGAGCCCGCAAGTTTAAACGCACACCCGGGCCACCCGGCCACTGCCAAACGCCAACACCTGGCCCATCTCCGTAAGGCAGACTGTGTGGTCGTCTCCGCACGCGACCTGCTGAGAAGTCAAAGCGTCAAACCCCTGAACATGAAGCACCATTGGTCCCGACCCCGTTTCCGACCCATCAACTGAAGATTTGCGGCACCCATTGCGTGGCGCTGGATGATCTCAGGGAAAAGACCCGGAATGCTGAAACGGGTCCATAAAGCCTCTGCAAGGATCCGTCCTGCACCACCCGCTCAGAGACAGCGCCGCTCCAGTCGAGTTCTGCAGGTTTCCAGCCTGCAGCTGACAGGGTGCTTCCAGATTTCGGGATTCGTGGTTCATGGCTCCGCGCTGCTTCACAGCATTCGATGGAGGGCTCTCCACAGAGGATCTCCCAACTTCGGCTTTTGCAGTCTGGATCAAGACTTACAATTACGAAAAACACCTTCAGCTCAAGTATCCCCTGTCTACCGAAGCTACACCACTCAAACCTTCTGAGCATGCCGTGCAACAGTCGAACGTGTCAGTTATCGTTGCTACTGCTGGCATTGTTGCTATTGTGTTTGCTGTCGTGAGTGGAGTTATCACTGTCACTATGGGCTATTGCTGGCAAGTTGTCCTTGTTCTTGCTTTGCTCGCTGCCGCTGTTGATAGCAGGACAATGCCACTGCTCTTCTTGCGGATCCTTCCGTGTTTACAAATGTCCTGACGTTTGACGCAGCGAGATCCTGCTGAGAATGTTTGAAGCAGGCAGCGCTGGCAACGAGCATAGGGTCAAAGAACTCAAGGCTACTCAGTGACCACTCACGAGCCACCCTTCGTCAGGCCTTCTCCCGGAGCCGCCGGCCGGCCCAGCTGACCCGAGAGGCCATCGCCGAAGGTCACCAAGCGGCCTCGATGTTCGTCTAAGAATTTCGAATGAACGCTGATGTCCTGGAACCCTTAACCAAAAAGACCCTCCGTCGCTCTGTAGTTGTGCGGGGGACTTGAGTGAAACCCGAAGTGTGTGACTTCGGTATCAGAGTTTGTTGAGGGGTTGGATGTGGCATCGATTAAGAACATCCCAAGCTGGAGGGCTTCAGAACTCGATGGGTTCGAGCTGTTGCGAAACGCAGTCGCATGGTGCACTCCTGGACCGCAAATGCACACCCCAAAGGCACAGAGTCTACAATGACGACTTCAGCACTGTCGACCTGTGGCTCTGCCTCCTCCGTCGTTGACGATTGCTACGAGAAACAGCAATGATCAACAGTCCCTGGCCCCTTGTCACTAGACTCATTCGACCGGATCAAGACCGTCATCAGCACCAGGCTCATGATGGTCATCACCGCCATAATCGTCATCGTCATCTCAGCAGGGGCCATACCATGACCGTCATCATCGTCATGGCGACCAGGGTCATGGCAACTATGATCCGCATTATGACCAGCAGATATCGTGGCACGAAACATACAGACTCAAACACGTGAACGGGGCTTCACATCGCGTCTCTGAACCTGTGCTGGCTGAGGCGACTGCCGTAAGCGCTCAGCACTGCCGTGTGGTACCTCGCACAGCTGCTTGCTGCGTTCGCAAAGGTCTACTTCACCCGGTCCCTCCTTCAACTTCACTTCACGCTCCCACCTGCAAGCCTGGGAACCTGGGAAAGCCCTGGATCTCCGATCTGATTGAAACTAGTGCTGAGTATACACCGTTGCTGGCTGCTCCATGCTAGTATCGATACCAAGATTGCAGACCTGAGCAAATCGCCCTGGCTCCAAACGTGAGTAGTCAGGCAAACTCAGCCGGAGTAGAAGCATTGTGAGTATCGCAGTCCTTGTGCTATTTTTCGCGTGATGTGTACATAAATAAATAAATAAATAAATAAATATATATATAATACATCCGCCCCTCTTGTTGATCCCCGCCTGCCACAAGCCACCCGGCGAGCGTCGCACGCGGCCAAGGCGAATCCCGCGCGTGCCGGGCTCGGCACCAAATGCGGCACCTGGAGTTGCATAAGGCCCTACCACGTTGGATCCTGAAACCCTTGGACACGCTGGAAGTGAAACATTTCAGAGACTCCGAACATGCTCAAAAGGAAAATACGACTAAGTGCATGATGGTCAAAAGCTGTTCAACTAGATTCGTCACTGAGACTTACAGTACGTGTCTGGAACGGGGACTGAAAACTCCGCGGGAACCTCTCATCCACGGCCATGACATCGAGCCCTATACTTACTCAAAGACACTATTTAACTTGATATTATGATGGCGCAGCCCCAGATTGAAACAAGTCAAACACAAGCTGCTAACCGCACAGACTCTGTAAGGCCCCTAAGGCCTCACGCTTCTACAGATTTATGCACTTTATGCCCCTGTTGCGGGCCAGTAGCTTCGCCGCTCCGGTGGCGGGATCCTCGCAAGCCTAGTGAGGGCCGTCTCTGCACAAGTGTACTTATAGTCAACCCAACGTAGTCACAATAGTCACAACAACCGTGACACCAGTAATAGTTGTGCTAAGCTGCTAAGAATAAGTAATCACGAAGTCATCACAGAAGAACCACGAAGAATCATGGTAGTCAAAGCAATGGTGACAGCAATAGAATTGGTGAGGAAGGGTAACTCAATTGTTGAAGCGTTCTTGGCCTGCAAGCACCGTCGGGCTCACAGTTCACAGGAAAGAAAGCAAAAAGGGTGCTTCAAGGGGCCTCGGTTTGGGAACAAGAGGACCATCAAACAAGCGTAAGCTACAGAAGCTGACCCAAGCCCTGTTGTGGGATAGTAACACGGCCTTGAACAATTTCGCTTTGGACTTGGGGGGCGTCCTAAACGAAGATTCGGCGCTTGCGGCTTGATAGTTCCGGGGTTCTGCTAAGCCGCGGCTGAGACTACCCGAAGCTCTCTCCCCCCGAAAGCCCCAAGAGCAAAGATCCTGTTCGAGGCAAGACTGTAGGTCAAGCGGTACCTTTGCCACCACTGGCGCTCTTCTATATTTGCCGCCTTTGTTCTCACTCAACTATAGTTTATCACGATGTAAATCTCAAACCGCCTTAACCTCCTGCACTGGCTGAACCCACAGCAGCCCTTCTCTGAAACGCCGGTGCCTGAGCCCACCGGATCCCGGGCACACTGGCCGTGGACATTCTCGCCCCAAAGATATCTGAGACTTGAGGTCTTGGGCTTTGTTTGGGGTTGGAGGTCGCGGTTTAGGCTTGAGGGCTTGGGCTGGAGGTCTTCAAGGATTCCGGTCCCAGTGAATCCTACTGCACAGGACTCAGCACAGGCACATGGAGTCCGGGTTCGAGCGGTAGCGATAGGCTTCTGAACACTCGCCGCCCGAAGACGAGGCCATGACCTGAAACCCTGCAAGCTAAAGACTCAAAATCCGAAACCTTTCGACCCCGATGTCTTAACCGGGGCAGAAACGAAGGGCAATGCCTAAGACCATAAACAGCTTCGCTGTCCGAGACAGTTCTGCCAAAATGCGTACCGCCATGCCGGCACACGACGGCAACGTGGCTGTCCTTGCGGGACTTCTTGGAGGCAAGAGCTTCAGGTTGAGGCTTGAGGGCTCCATACGCCAAAGCATTCGATACCCTCATGGACTTAGCTGCCACACAACCGACAGCTCAGTGATACGAGACTCCGAGAGTCATGGCCTGAGGGCCTCATCTCACTAGAAGCACAGAAGCGTCCCTACCGCACAAGGTGACATCGGCATCGCCGCCATCATCACAGTTCACCTCCGACCAAGGCTCCCCTTCTTAAGTCGGACTTCGAAATCTAGTCGGAGGACCGATAATCAGACTCTTACCAACACACAAAGGTCTGCACCCGGAAGGTGTAGCTCGTGACTGAGCAATCTGCCTTCTTCTTGGCTGGGCAGTCTGCGGACATTTACTTAGTACTAAATGCCATCTGGGCGTCTCCAGCTGCGACGTCCTCCGCGTCGGAAATGCTCGCCACCTCACGTTCTGGAAGCTGTAGACGTTTGTGGTACAAGTAAGAATGCCGTTGGGAAGTCCTCACTACAGAAAACTCAAGTCGATTGAAACCGCGCACACAACGATGGCCATCGTTATTGAGGCCATCACGGCAATCATGGTCATCATCGTCATCATCATCGTCCGTAATGACTATGAGGGCCATGATAAGCCTGACGACGACGATCCTGATGTTGATGATGGTGGACAGAAGGACTTCACAAGAACTCATATCTAGGTTTTGAGATTTTGGATTAGGTTTAGAGGGGATGGCCCTCCCCAAAGCCTCCAACCCGTCCAGCCCTGAAAACGTTGATTCAACTGTCCTGCTTCCGGGGCGGCCTTGCGCGGGCGCCGCCAGGCCGTTGTGCCAAGGGCCTGCGGCAGCTTCTTCATGAGGATGTCACTGATTCCCTCCAGGCTTAATCAAGGCACCTGGTACTCATGCATCTCTTGAATGGAAAGCTTCTGTATGATTATGAAATGCTAAACCTCAGCGTGGAAGCTCAACCGGTTGAGCGTTCTGTGGTAGCTATCCCGGCTCCGATATGCTCTCCAGTATGGATGCCGATCGATGTGCATTTCGTCACAGAGATGCGAATAAATGAAAAACAACTTGAATTCCTGTGATTGTTACATGGAAGAAGTCTGTGATGCCCTGACCTTCAGACAACCGAGGCGCCGGAAAGCTCGCAACCCCACCCTAGGCCCTAGCCTCCAGGTCCGGGCGCGCAAGGGCACGGCCAAAGGCAAAGAGGTTACCACTGCGGTCGGCCGCTGCGCAGTGGCCGTTTCCACATGCCACCTGACCGGCTCTGCGAAGAGCCACTATCTATATTATATTATATTATACTATACTCCACTATATTATACTATACTATACTATATTATATTATACTATACTATATAATACTATACTATACTATATTATATTGCTATACTATACTATACTATACTATATTATACTAAACTATACTATACTATACTATATTATACTATATTCTACTATACTATATTATACTGTATTATACTATATTATGTTATGCTATACACTATACTATATTATACTATATTATACTATACTCTACTATACTATATTATACTATACTATATTATATTAGATTGTATTATATATATATATATAACCATCAAACGAAGGGATGTCTCACGGTGGGCATGGCTCCGAAGGACAAGGCAATAGGATTTAGCCTCTGTTGGGCAATTGGATCTTGTTCTTGAAGTAAAGGACTTCAGGATATGGCGAGTTGTGCATGACCAGCATGAGTCGCTCTCGTCTTCCATGTTTCTTCGGCCCGGTGTTGCCGCCCGATCATCCTTAGGATAGGTTCACACATTTTGTACCGGCTGTGCTCCGCCCTTGTGACACCATCGCCGTAACAGTTGAGACCTGAGGTACCAAACAGGAAGATGCCTGTGACAGGTCACAGTTTTCATACCTCCTGGTGCATCAATTGGTTAGAGCATCCGTTCTCAATCCACGAGACTGTCCATGCCCATTGAAATTATGCGGAAGCAGTGACTCCGTTCACGCTACCACTGGGCCACCACTGCATCAGTACATCATCTGACATAAACGGAAAAACAGCTGAACCATAAAAAGAAACCAAGAATTCAAAACAATCCAGGAAGAACAGGGACACACTCGCCGGCCTTCGTCAGATGCACCTCGGCTGGCAGTCAGCCGAATTCCCGGTAGCCTCTACGCTCAAGTTTGAGGGCTTCGGTATCGCGCAGAAGGTGCCCGAAGCCATGGCAATAGCGGCCCCAACCCGACTGGAATGCCCCACGGCACGAAAAATGACTGCAATTTCAAGTCTGAAACGCCCTAGGCCAAGATTTGACAAATGCAAGCGAAGCGCAGACCATAGTGCCATCACGGGTGTTGCCCGTGTCAGGGCCGCTGGAGACTCCGTATTGGGTGTCCGGAAAAACTCCGCGCATTGTGACACCTTTTGCGTGTGGATGCTCCAGGGAAGACACCATTACTCGAGAAAGGACAGTGACGGTGCACCTCGTGGCTGAGCTGATCGGAGCAGGCCACCTTGCAGCCAGAAACAGTCCCGCACGACTCTAGACTTGCTAGCAAAAAACGATTAGCAACAAGACAAACTACATCAAACAGACCAGCATCAGTACTGCCACGACGACAACCACCACATCTCAGGGTGAAGACAATAATAATGTTGTTGCTGATGATGAACAACCACACCACCAACAACAGCCACCACCACAACCACAACCACCACAATTCACAACGACCACGACGACAACCACGACGACGAAAACAACGACAACATCATCAGCAGCAGCACCATCATCACAGCCATCATCATCATCATCATCAGCACCATAAACACCATTCATCATCAACAACATCCTGCACATTCTCATCATTGTCATCATCATGGTGGCACAACGACATGCTTCAGACGCTCATCGCCAGCATAATCGCCCTCGCTGCTTTCGGCTCGTAGACGCGGCACTGCAAGTTGCTAAGCTGTGCATTCTGTGCGAACAACCATCACCGTAAGCTTCTACGATCGTCAATAGCAGGCCTGCCATCTTATGGACGTTCTTATGTAAGTGGGACCTGGTTAGCTGCTTGATGCTGCTGCTGATGCCGCTCATGGTGACGACGGTGATGACGACGACGACGATTATGATTATTCTTCTTCTGATTATTATCATTATTATGGTCATGGTGGTGGTCATGGTGATGATGTTGATGATGACGATCAAGGACGAGGATGATGATGAGGAGGGAGAAGGAGGAGGAGGGAGGGAGGATGGGGAGGGAGAGGACGGGGAGGCAGGAGAAGGGGAGGGAGGAGGGAGGAGGAGCGGGAGGGAGGAGGAGGAGGAGCGGGAGGAGAGGACGAGGAGAGGAGGGAGGAGAGCAGGAGGTGGAGAGGAGGAGGAGGAGAGGAGGAGGAGGAGGAGGGGAAGATGACGATGATGAGGACGATGCCGATGCTGCTGCGGATGCGGCGTTGGATGCGGATGTTGACGAAGAAGATGATCATTCCATTTATCATCATGATGCTGATGATGATGTTGATGATGATCGTGAGCGCTATGCTGGTTGAGACGATGATGACGACGCCGAGCTTTGTGATTCTTACTTCTCTCGTTCTTGAGCTGTCATTGCTGTCCGTACACAAACTATATACATAGCATACCTACACATACATATAGATAGGGGTGCGCGCATATGTGTGAATGTATACGAAAACTATGGGAATTCTACATACAGACACATATACATACATACATCCAAACATACATGCATACATTCATTCATACATACATACAGTACATGCATGTTGTACGCGCGCGGTGCCTGCATGCATGCGCCAGTTGATGTACGGTATGACATTTACTCGTGCATCCAACTGTTACCAGTCTCACAGACGCAGTTGCGAGGGCCGAGAGGCTCCTGCCGCGCAGGGATCGCCGAGGGCCCAGGGCCGGCCAGCGCTGTCCAGGATGAGGAGATGGTCCTGTGACTGGTTTCTAAGTCCCAGGACCCAGGAGTTCGAGCTTCTGGGGTAAGGGCTTTGAGCTCCGTGCGGCCTTGGGCGTGCAGCTCTCAGCCACGCAAGGTCTGGTCAGGCAACGTTGGCAGTCTCGAAGGTACCAAGCACGAACATATCAAAGTAGGTACTTACTAGTAAGAACGGCAAACCAGGCATCTTGACACAAACGCCAAGGCGGAGTCCTTGCCGCAGGCCACTGAGACGATCCGCACCGTCGGATCCGGCAGAGCACCGTGAGGGCTAAGGAGCATGGTCTCAGACGAAACGCCTGGGCACGAAAACAGCTCATGTCTCTTCTTCGCCATCGTCACCATCGTCATCGTGGTCATCATCATCGTCATCATCATCACCACCGTCGTCGCCATGCTCACCTCATCCTCACCACACTAGATCAAGCAATCATCACCATCATCATCATCATCAGCAGCAGCAGCATCATGTAGGCATCCACCACGTCCTCATTGCCTTCAGGATCACCGCCACCATTCGCATCATGATTTTCATCAACGCCATCGTTGAACAACCAACCTCATACCGCTAAAGGTTGCACCTCGCACATCCCCAATTCCTCTCGGGCAGATACCTAACACGCAGCGTTAGGCCGAAATGGCCGAGACATGCCGAGCCACTGAATTGCGAAGAGGAGTTGCTGAAGGCGATCGGTGAGAGCCCAGCACCGGCAAAGAGTCGCCCGACCTCGTCCGCACAACCTGGCGAATCTTGCTATACTGCCTGGTGACTTATGACATCCATGCTCCACAACCAGCATCCGGCTGCAGGTGCGACTTATGCAGCGATTGCCAAGGCCGATACATTTAGCACCTCTGTTTCTCGCGAGGCTGGTGATTTGTGAAACTCCCGCCTGCACCGCAGTTCGAAAGGCTGGCACTTTAAAAACGCTGCTCTAGGTGAGCAGCAGCCCCAGCTCCTCCTTCATTGCCAATATGAGGAGGGATCCGATAGTTGCCATGATCAAGGCTAGAGCAAAGTTTGTGGAGAGGAGCGCAGCACAGTCACGAGGCTTCAGGCAAAGGAAACCCTCTACACCAGATAGCCCTATGTTGACTGTGTCCGGGATGTTTCCGACAGCCTTTGCAGTAGCGAAAGGCTGGCAGTGCATGCCTGGGAGTGAAAGCTGGTTCAATGCATTCCACATCGCTGCAGGTGTCCATCCCCCTTCCATGCTTCCACGCTGCTGCCGAAGCCAACGCATCCCTAAAGCCACGATGAACTCTGTCAGGATCATGCCAAACCCAGCCAAGAGGGCAACCACATAGGTGGCAGGGCGGTAAAGATATCGGCATGTGGGCGAAGCCCGGTCGCAACCGTAGGTGAGGTGGGCGGACAAGGAGGAGAGCATGTAGAAGAGACACGCGAGAAACATGATGGCCCAAGACAACATTGCCGACAAGGAGGACGTGCGAAGAACTAGATCCTTCTGAGTCCCGAACTCTTGGAGTTCGAGCACTTTCCAGCCAAACTGCCGGGCTAGGCTACGCCTCATGAAGATGAGTAAGGTGCCCACAACATTGAAGCGACCAAGGATGGCAAATGCAGCATGTGTCGCGACCGACACTGCTCCACGACGCACTACTTGGTAGTTTGTACCTTGGTCAAGGGCAAGCATCAATGCCAAGCCGCCGTAGTAGAAGCCTTCTGAGGACACCGCCACCGTGGCCGTGGCAGACGTCAGCCACAAAGCCGAACAATCGCGACGCCCTGGAAAATACGTCCAAGTAAATTGGACGATCGGATTGAAGAGCGTCTTATACACGATTGCTACAACAGGGTAGAACATGTCCTGGAGCGCCTCAGTTTGGATGTCGCCCCGCCAATCGACGAGGTAGCTGCCCATAAAGAGGCTTAAAGCGCCCAACGCACGCAGAACCATACCTGCCCCTATTCCAAAAAGCTTCCTTTCTCCAAAGGGCAGGTAGATGAAGGGCGTGCAAAAAGTAGCAATTATGTTCGACCGTGACTGGAATGGTCCGAGAAAGTATTTCTCCCCCGCGAACAACAGCCAGTGAAGAGACAGTTCAACCAGCACAACCCAGGTAGGGACACGGCCCATGCCCAGCTTGGCGGTCTGCCACGCTACCTGCCAGGTTCCTAGGGAAAGAGTGCTAGCGATCCCCAAGGCTGCAGGTATGCGCCAACCACTCCAAAGAGCAGCCCGGTAGGCGCCACCAAGAAGAATCACCGGAACCACGTTCCCCCAAAGCTTGAGTGCAAGCGGTCCGCAGAGAATATCTTTGGGGCTAATGGTCAATTCTGCTGGATAGTACGTCTTCGACTCCACGACAGCAACTGGGACAGTCTCCTGCTTTTCTGCAGCTGCTCCCTCCATATGCTCCTCAATGTCGGCGCCCAAGGTCTCGTCTCCATCGTCTCCTGGTTCCATCTTGACCACATGTTCCTCCTCTTTTGGCTCAGGCCCCGCCGGGGTCTCTCTGGGCAAACCAGCAACTGCCACTTCTGGTGGCACATCGCTGACGCTGCTCCTGCAGCAAGTCTGTGACTGCGTACTTCCCATGGGAACAGTGTCACCGTCTCCTAGGCTTTATGGCTACGGCTGCGGCTTGCTGGAGCCAAGTGCGAAAAAACCTGTTCAGATCATGCCCAGACAGAATCCGTGCAGAGTCTGTCCTTGTAATCTGCGAAGAATGCCTATTCATATACTTGTTTGATTATTTACACGTGTGAGTGAGTGAGTGAGTGAGTGAGTGAGTGAGTGAGTGAGGTGAGTGAGTGAG